ACACACACACACACACACACACACACACACACACACACACACACACAAAGCAAACAAACAATAACAACAAAGAGAGGAGCTGGAAAGATGGTTCAACAATTAAGAACACTGGCTGCTCTTCCAGAGAATCTCAGTTTGATTCTCAGCACCCACATGATGTCTAACAACTGTCTGAAAATTCAGTTCTAGGTGATCCATGAGTACTGAATATACATGGTACACAGACATACATAAAAGCACATTAAATAAAAAATATTTTTGACAAAGATATTAAAATAATTAAAGTACAAAATTCAACTCTAGTAGGAGAAAGTGATTGTTCTACTTATAGCCTGTTGTTTATTATTTTATTTGAATTTTTGACATATGGAAAGGCAAAGAGATTTGAAATATGTTGCTGATGAGTGAATATCTAACTGGGAATAGATAAAAACCCCTCTTCTCACACCAATTCCCCCACAGAGTTTACTAGCTAGCTTCTTATACATTCCTATTAACTAGACTATATTTTGCACATACGGCTCTATTTGTGGTGTGTTGTGTATCTTATAAGTTCTTTAAACAGAAGACAGTGACTGACTGAAGCAAAGTTCCTGGCATAGAGCAATGTTCGGGTCCTTTTAGGAGCCAAGAGCAATGTGATGTTATTCTCTTTGCAGAAGGTGATCTGTGGAAATCTAAAATAATTAAATATATCTCATTAAATATTGATTTGATTTCACAGAAGTACCTAACAAGAACAGTAACCCACTCTGAAGCTTCTGTTCTTTTAGGTAGCTTTTATCCATTAAAAACACCCCTTTATGGTCCTCTACTTTGTTTGTGTGTGCGAATGAGCCTCACTATGAGTTTACACTCTGTTATTTAGTGTCACCCCTCCCTCTACCTAATTGTCTTATTTTATATGGAAATAAAGGATCTTTCCTAGCACATCCTTTTATACACTAAATTTAGAAAGGGAATTCTTGAAATCCAAACAGTCAACCTGATCTTCATATGAAATTTTTTTCACATATACCCCATCCTCTTCCCTTTAAGACATCAATCCCATCAAAAAATTTCCATTTTGCCTTTCCATTCACATTTCATATATACTACAGACATTAGTCTTATTCAGTCCTAGCCTTATGTCTTACTAGTTATATAAACAAGGAATATGCCTTACCTTTTAAATCTTATTTTTCTCAATTATTTTAAAAATATCAATAATATCAAACATAAGTCATGATGAAGATTAAATAAAATAATATAATTGTGCAAAACACAGAGTAGACATTCAACAAATGTTGCAATTATAAGGGAGGCAGTTTCTGTTCCCAGAGAGCAGAACAAAACAAAACAAACCATAAATCCCCTAATTATAGTCTCTCTTATTAAATTACCTCTTTGAACTCAGGCAACCTGGAAGGGCAGGTAAAAAACTTTATAGGTTTCCAGAAACCTCTTAGTGTGATGCAGCCAGTAGCTTGAAGTAGCCAGTCTTTTGTTGTTTCCCAGGCTTGAAAGAGGCTGCAGTAGAGAACTGGGGTGTCTTTAAAGTTTAGGGTTGCTCAAGGGCCTTACTCTTTTTTCATCATGTAGATAAAGGATCCAAACTATCCAGCCCCCATATCCTTATGATCTTTGGCCTTCCCAGAATCTAACAGATCCTCTTTCTGTTTCTCCATATGTATGGCAGCAGTACAAAGGGACACATGTCCTACTGACCAACAATACCCTGCACCATGGCACAATTACTGTAGAGATTTTGTAAATGTGTGAATAATAAATGGACAGGGTCCAATCCTTAGCTTCTCAGAAGCTCAGAAAGCTCTCCATTCCTGACACACAGATAGCTAATGACAGGAAATATACCTTAGACAACGATAGCCACAGCCACAATTCATGCCCCAGCAAGGGAAAAAGTGGCCCTGACACAGTCCAGAATTCTACTGTTACCCCACAAAAGTCTTTGCTGAGTAGCTCAAAATCACTCTAGAGCACATCAAAGGTAGTGTTTCTTAAATACAACTTGGAGTATATGGTGAAAGACAAAGTAGAAATACAAGAATTATATGAGAGTAGAATACATGAAAGTAATCTCCTACTTCTACTATGAATTGGGTTCAAGAATAGCTGAGAGTAGGGGGCAGGTAGTTTCTACCCACCCCATGTAGTGGAAGCTAACAGTTTGCA